GGCTGGCTGTCCCTCGTGTTGTCTCTACAGCTCTAGTGGACTCTGGCGCCGCTGGAATTTCATCGACCAGGCCCACTCCTCCTTTCATCGCCTCTCCTCTCACCTCTCTCCTCAAGGGTGGTCCCGGGCTGACCCCCTTCCGTGGACCCCAAGCCAGACCGAAGCTCCTGCGGTGGACGAGTGGTTCAGGTGCTCAGAGGAGGTTTGGAACGATGCCCATGTGACGCTCCAGCGCTCCGTCCGCTGTCGGAAGGCGCAGGCGGACTGCCACCGCAGTGAGGCTCCCGTTTTCCATCCTGGTGATCGCGTCTGGCTCTCCACCAGGAACCTATAGGAAGCTGAGCCCCCGGTTTGTGGGGCCCTTCAAGGTCCTCCGGAGGGTCAACGAGGTAACCTATAGATTACAACTCCCCACTAACTACCGAATCTCACCCTCTTTTCATGTTTTCCTCCTCAGGCCGGTGGTTCCTGGTCCCCTGGCTGGTGCCGTCACCTGCGACACCCCCTCCACCTCCCCTTGACATCGATGGGAGCCCCGCCTATGCCGTCAGGTCCCTCCTGGACTCCCGATGACGTGCGGGTCAGCTCCAGTACCTGGTGGACTGGGAGGGGTATGGTCCAGAGGAGCGCTGTTGGGTCCCGGTGGACGACATCCTGGATCCCAACATCATCATACGTTACAAATATCCTCTTCGATATCTCTTTTGTAGTGGAGCTGAATGACGATGAAAACTTTGATGATCAAGGCCTCCCTCTTGGTGAGAATTTCATTCCAGCATTGGGGAACATCCCGCACAAGTACTGTTCATGACACAAACAGTTCACACCCCTCTTGTTGGTGGAGAGAATTTTACAGGTTTAAAGCTTATTTACGGCAATTCTACACATTTTGTAATGGGGTGCAAAGAACATTTTGCGGTTTTAAAACTCATTTTCTTGCATTTCAATACATTTTGCCATGTCTAATGTGAATTAATGTGATATTTCAGTGACCAAAAAAGTACAAAATCTATGCACTAAAAAAAAGAAATAAAAAAACTTTGATCTGGATAGGGCTGTTGCGGTCAAGACATTTTGTCAGCCGGTGATTGTTAAGCAAATAACTGCCGGTCTCACGGTAATTGACTGTTAATTAACATAAACACGTTTAGCATCTCCTGTCTTCCATGCATAGCCTACATGCCACTGATGCTGACCTTTGGAACATCCACATTTTAACAAGGTCTAATAAATCTATTTAACATAGCCTACACCATCACAATAAATTCATTATTTATTTTAGACAGGTCTCAATAAACATGATATGAAGAAAATGTAGTCTATTTCAGAAGAACAGAATAGCATACATACTCAGAATTGTCCTTATGTTAGGCCCTTATCTGGCTATGGCTGTGGGCTACAGTTGTTAATTTAGCAGACAAGATTTGCTTAGAATTCTGTGGCATTATTTTTATATTATTTTATAGTATGAAGAATACATAGCTGAATAAAATAGAAAGTATATTTTCTCCAAATGATTTCCAAGGGAGTGGGCACATGTGGCTATTCTGTGTTTAGCGGTTAACAAAGAAACAGGTCCTCCTATATGCTTGGAGTTATTTATGCAACTTTAGTTGTGATACAAACGTTGGATTTTAAATACAGTCTAAGGCTGCATGATGCAACTCTAAGGATGATTTGAAAAAAAGATGCATGAAAGGCATGAGCTCTGCATTGTTTCTTGTGCAGGCTGCACTTCATCAGTCTCTCATTCACAATTTGACAAGCAAATTGGATGTAGTCTATCACAGTGCCATCCGTTTTGTCACCAAAGCCCCATATACTACCCACCACTGTGACCTGTACGCTCTTGTTGGCTGGTCCTCACTACATATTCCTCACCAAACCCACTGGCTCCAGGCCATATATAAATCACTGCTAGGCAAATCCCCGCCTTATCTTAGCTCATTGGTCACCATAGCAACACCCACCCGTAAGTATGCGCTCCAGCAGGTATATCTCACTGGTCATCCCCAAAGCCAACACCTCCTTTGGCCGCCATTCCTTCCAGTTCTCTGCTGCCAATGACTGGAACGAATTGCAAAAATCTCTGAAGCTGGAGACTCTTATCTCCCTCACTAACTTTAAGCATCAGTTGTCAGAGCACCTTACCGATCACTGCACCTGTACACAACCCATCTGAAATTAGCCCACCCAACTACCTCATCCCCATATTGTTATTTATTTTGCTCATTTGCACCCCAGTATCTCTATTTGCACATCATCTCTTGCACATCTATCATTCCAGTGTTAATACTAATTGTAATTATTTTGCACTATAGCCTATTTATTACTTTACCTCCATAACTTGCTACATTTGCACACACTGTATATGTATTTTCTGTTGTATTTTTGACTTTGTTTTGTTTTACCCCATATGTAACTCTGTGTTGTTTTTAATCGCACTGCTTTGCTTTATCTTGGCCAGGTCGCAGTTGTAAATGAGAACTTGTTCTCAACTGGCTTACCTGGTTAAATAAAGGTTAAATAAAATACAAATAAAACTTGATAATATTCTCACCAGGCCTCGAATTTCCCGGTGGCATCCCCCTTGTGTGGCCGTAATGCCCCCTAATAAATCCATGCCTTTTCCAGCCAAAGTGGCCATTGTGCCCATGGGCTGAATATAATAATTATAATTCCCTTCTCCCAGTACTTTACTTTTTACCATTTTCTACATTGTAGAATAATAGTGAAGACATCAAAACAATGAAATAACACATATGGAATCATGTAATAACCAAAGAAGTGTTAAACAAATCAAAATATATTTGAGATTTGAGATTCTTCAAATAGCCACCCTTTGCCTTGATGACAGCTTTGCACACTCTTGGCATTGTCTCAACCAGCTTCACCTGGAATGCTTTTCCAACAGTCTTGAAGGAGTTCCCACATATGCTGAACACTTGTTGGCTGCTTTTCCTTCACTCTGCGATCCGACACATCCCAAACCATCTCAATTGGGTTGAGGTCGGGGGATTGTGGAGGCCAGGTCATCTGATGCAGCACTCCACCACTCTCCTTCTTGGTAAAATAGCCCTTACACAGCCTGGAGGTGTGTTGGGTCATTGTCCTGTTGAAAAACAAATGATAGTCCCACTAAGCCCAAACCAGATGGGATGGCATATCGCTGCAGAATGCTGTGGTAGCCATGCTGGTTACGTGTGCCTTGAATTCTAAATAAATCACAGACAGTGTCACCAGCAATGCACCCCCACACCATAACACCTCCTCCATGCTTTACGGTGGGAAATACACATTCGGAGATCATCCGTTCACCCACACCGCGTCTCACAAAGACACGGCTGTTGGAACCAAAAATCTCAAATTTGGACTCCAGACCAAAGGACAAATTTCCACCGGTCTAATGTCCATTGCTCGTGTTTCTTGGCCCAAGCAAGTCTTCCATTCCTGTGGCAGTCCTCATGAGAGCCAGTTTCATCATAATGCATAATGGTTTTTGCGACGCACTTTCACCGTAACAGCCCTAGATCTGGACATTTCCGACAAGTTATAAATCGCTCTCTAAGGCATGCAATGACTAACATGATGCGACTGAAATTTTGCTGGTGGGGAGAGAGGGTTGAGGAGTAGGCTTGAAGCACTGGGCATCTTGTTATTACATGCATTATCTGAATTAGGTCCACAGAATTAATTATACCTAGGAGGAGCGGCTTCTATGGAGGAACATTGAATGTCCTTTGAGCTAGCTAGCTAACAAGCTTGTGTGTGCAGAGCGGCACTGGAATTAAAAACACGTCTTACCTTTTTGTAGTTAATAAATCCAACGTGAAACGTGATGAGGCATACAGTATCCTTAACTAACATTAATCCATTCTTCTCTAGCTAATAAAAAAATGCCTGGAACTTAAAATAATGTTATTAACCGGTTCCCATGCTTTTCAAATAACGGTTCTGTTCCGGAACAGTATGAATCACTTTCGTTCCAGGTTCCGTTCCTTGAAAAATGATGTTATTTTCCAGTTTCCGGTTCTCTTCCCTGAATTGGTTCCAACCCCTGATATAAACCACTGTGAAATATATTTTCAATAACAACAAATATTGTATTTTCAGCTGTTTGAAGCTGTTGTACAAAACCGAAAGATGCAAAAAACTAAATTTAAGAACGGGAAGCATAGAAATAGCGCACATAGAACAGATCTACAGCTTCTTTTAGACTTGTTTTCAATGAGAATGACACCAATGAGCTATAACTCACATTTCTATGTCAATTTGGTCAGGTTGCCAATAAAGTTACATATTTAATGTAAAATAGAACTTCTAGAAACGTTTCATGGGAACATTGCAAGAACATTCAGAGAAAACCGCTGGACTGTCACTCCATGCTGGTGCGAAAATCCCATCATATACTCCAGAAAATGTAAACTTTCCTTGTTGGATTTTTTGGGGGAACATTTTGATCACTATGTTTACTCAAATTATTCTGTATTCATGTAAATTGTATTTCTCAGTCAGCATGTGTTACCATGTAATACATTATATTGTATTAGGCTGCTGTACATGTTTTCACCCTGTCCTGTTTTTCACTGTTTTTGATTGTAATATCCTTTGAGAGAAATAAGGTTATTAGAATCAATCCCTGAATGCAATACCTTTTTATTAACCTGAAACTCTATACTATAGTTTACATTTTATATTTTTGTCATTTAGCAGACGCTCTTATCCAGATACATACATTTTTCATACTATATCTGCACCATCAACAGATTTGTTCAAAAACAATCATCATCACCTAATACAGTATTCACTAATGAAGAACTCACAGATGACAGAGCAACTGAGTTTTCTAACAGGTCTATTAGCTAAACCAGTAATTGTGATATAGCTCAGGGGCACACAACACAGAGACATCAAACTAATAATCTGTTATTTGTGTTTAATTCAGAAATGATAATGAAAACAAACTCCAAAGCTAATCATTTCAACAAATGAAATGTACTCAACAATGTTTGGGTTGCCCGAGAGGCCATGAGTTTGAAGAAGAGGGCGGGCCACAGGGTGCGAATGTAGATGGCCAGAGTGGGCAGGGGCCCAGCCAATAGGACCTCTTTACTCCTGTGATGGACAGCCTTCAGGACCACTTGGGCCACATCTTTCGGTTCCCGCCCCAAAGCTGTCGTCTTGTCCAGGACTTCACCAGAGTAGAAAGGAGAGAAATAAATAGACTACTAACGTAATTACAGAGAGAGGGGGAGGGGAAGAGCAGACAGAGAGAATGAGAGAAAGAGAGAGAGTGGTCAGCTAATTCCTCTCCCTTACCTCCATATTTGGAGCCATCCTCCATGACAACGTTAAGAGACAGGTTGGTTCTGATGTAGCCAGGGCTGACCACTGTCACCTGTATACTGTAGCGCTCCATCTCAGCCCTCAGACAGTCGAAGTAGGCCTGGGTGGCGTGTTTGGAGGCCGCATCTGCTCAAAACACACCATATGTTTATTCAATTTCATTGCTTTACTACTACAGTCGTGGTCAAAAGTTTTGAGAATGACACAAGTATTGGTCTTCACAAAGTTCGCTGCTTCAGTGTTATGAGATATTTTTGTCAGATGTTACTATGGTATACTGAAGTATAATTACAAGCATTCCATAAGTGTCAAAGGCTTTTATTGACAATTACATTAAGTTTATGCAAAGAGTCAATATTTGCAGTGTTGACCCTTCTTTTTCAAGACCTCTGCAATCCGCCCTGGCATGCTGTCAATTAACTTCTGGGCCACATCCTGACTGATGGCAGCCCATTCTTGCATAATCAATGCTTGGAGTTTGTCAGAATTTGTGGGTTTTTGTTTGTCCACCCGCCTCTTGAGGATCGACCACAAGTTTTCAATGGGATTAAGGTCTGCGGAGTTTCCTGGCCATGGACCCAAAATGTTGATGTTTTGTTCCCCGAGCCACTTAGTTTTCACTTTTGCCTTATGGCAAGGTGCTCCATCATGCTGGAAAAGGCATTGGTCGTCACCAAACTGTTCTTGGATGGTTGGGAGAAGTTGCTATCGGAGGATGTGTTGGTACCATTCTTTATTCATGGCTGTGTTCTTAGGCACAATTGTGAGTGAGCCCACTCCCTTGGCTGAGAAGCAACCCCACACATGAATGGTCTCAGGATGCTTTACTGTTGGCATGACACAGGACTGATGGTAGCACTCACCTTGTCTTCTCCGGACAAGGTGTTTTCCGAATGCCCCAAACAATCGAAAAGGGGATTCATCAGAGAAAATGACTTTACCCCAGTCCTCAGCAGTCCAATCCCTGTACCTTTTGCATAATATCAGTCTGTCCCTGATGTTTTTCCTGGAGAGAAGTGGCTTCTTTGCTGCCCTTCTTGACACCAGGTCATCCTCCAAAAGTCTTCGCCTCACTGTGCGTGCAGATGCCCTCACACCTGCCTGCTGCCATTGCTGAGCAAGCTCTGCACTGGTGGTGCCCCGATCCCGCAGCTGAATCAACTTTAGGAGACGGTCCTGGTGGTTGCTGGACTTTCTTGGGCGCCCTGACGCCTTCTTCACAACAATTGAACCTCTCTCCTTGAAGTTCTTGATGATCCGATTAAATGGTTGATTTAGGTGCAATCTTACTAGCAGCAATATCCTTGCCTGTGAAGCCCTTTTTGTGCAAAGCAATGATGACGGCACGTGTTTCCTTGCAGGTAACCATGGTTAACAGAGGAAGAACAATGATTTCAAGCACCACCCTCCTTTTAAAGCTTCCAGTCTGTTATTCTGACTCAATCAGCATGACAGAGTGATCTCCAGCCTTGTCCTCGTCAACACTCTCACCTGTGTTAACGAGACAATCACTGACATGATGGCAGCTGGTCCTTTTGTGGCAGGGCTGAAATGCAGTGGAAATGTTTTTTTGGGATTAAGTTCATTTTCATGGCAAAGAGGGATTTTGCAATTAATTGCAATTCATCTGATCACTCTTCATGACATTCTGGAGTATTTGCAAATTGCCATCATCAAAACTGAGGCAGCAGACTTCGTGAAAATTAGTATTTGTGTCATTCTCAAAACTTTTGACCACGACTGTACAGATATCACTGACAGAGCTATTTGCAGGTGGAAATAACACTTGTTTCACCTTCCTTTGGAAATGTGCTGTATTACGGTTCGTAGATTGTTGTTGTCTGATTTCATGGATAATTATTTTACCTCAGTTATAGGGTTGGCATCACTTTTGCTACATTACTCACAAGCTGATCTGTAGGGGATGGCAATCTTCCCCTGGACACTGCTGATGGCCACTACGTGTCCACTGTGCCGGCGAACCATGGAGGGCAGGAGGGCTACAGTTGGAGAGAGAGAGAGGGATGGAGAGAAAGGGAGAAAACAAACAAAGTTGAGAGAGTGGAGAGAAGAATCAAGAGACTACATGAGTTCAAGACATTAATGGCATTTGTCATTTGACCACAGAGTGTACATTTGGAAATCAGGTGATCATAACCTTCTACCTTGAGTTAGAGCTGGTAGTAGTTGGTATCCATGACGTCCCTCTGTACGGAGATGTGCGTCTCCAGGATGTTGCTGCGGTGACTGATGCCGGCGTTGTTGATGAGGACGTCCACGTGGCCGTAGCACCTCAGGATCTCCTTCACGGCCATGGCAACCATTTACGCTGTGTCGGACAGGTCAAAGATCACCATAATGGGGGTGTACGTCTGCCGGTGATGACGTCATAGACATGTCATAAGAATTCAAGGGGTGCATCTCAATAGTCTAATGTTGCTGTCTCCCCTCGTCCCCTTTCCTTCATCTGACATGATGTAAAAAAGCTGAACTGGTGAAGGCAAAATTCTAGTATTCAACTAATCGCTCTCCCTTATCGTATGTTTTCAGATCAGCCCAGTGGAGGAAGAGGAGATGAGAAGTGAGTGAGTGTGTGTCTCTATACCTGCTGCTGGCTTTCTGCTGCGGTGGCTGTGAGCTCCTGAACTATGTCCTGTAGCCTGGCTACATCCCAGCCACACAGAACCAGCCTTGCTTTGGCAGCATGGAACACCCGAGCACACTCTGCAACACAACACACACTATTTTAAAGTTGGTAACTAGAACCTTTGAGTATGTTTTTTATTTTAAAAAATTGTGATTCTGTCTCTATGTAGCCTACATTGTGTTGCTGCGAAATTGCCTCGAGGACATTTATGTTTTCATATCTAAAGTAACACTCACCTCTCCCCAGGCCAGAGCTGGCTCCAGTGATGACCACCACAGCATCCTGGATGGTAGCCCCCTGTTGGAGCCTCTGGAGCAGCCGGTAGAGCAGCACCAGCCCCAGCCCACCAGCACACTCCCCCCATTACACGCTCCATGGCTGGGATGATTGGACCGGACCATCCGACCCTATCAGTTTACCCCGCCTGGACAACACACAACCACTTCTCTTCAGGATTTCTAAGCTACTTCCCAAATGGCACCCTATTTTCTATATAGTGCACTACTTTTGATAGGAATCTGGTCGAAAGTAGTGCACTATGTAGAAAATAGCATAATTTCACAGGCAAGTCTTATGCTAATTTGCATAGTTAATTGTTTAATTCCAGCATTCCCTTCCAGCATTTTAATCAATTTATAAATGTCCTGCGCTAATGTGTTATCATGTGCACACTGTGTCATGTTTCTTTTGTCTTAGTGTGCTTCTATAAAAATACAAAAAAATAACTTTTCCTTGACAGTATAATTATTCTCCTCTGACTGTGCATTTTCGGCAATTCTTACTTTTGACACTAGAGGGCGATCGGGCGATTTTTAGGGGTCTGTACTCCCGAAGTTGTTGACTGTTTTTGTGCTTGCCAGTTAGCTAGCAGTTCTCAACCAGCAAGAATTAGCAAGACCTTGCAAGAATAAGGCCAATAACAGTACAGTATGAAATGCTGTTGATTAGCCCATTGGTATTGCACGATGTTCAGCACATTTTTCATATTGGACATACATATTGCACCGTACACAATTTCCTGTACATTGTGTCACATAAGGGGGGTCCCATTGTACTCAGGAGCACCTCTATTTACTAAGAGTTTTCATCTGTATTTTTCGTAGTCTATTTACCATCACAAACCAATGCTGGCACTAAGACCACAATCAACGAGCTGCATAGGGCCATAGGCAAACAAGAAAATGCTCATCCACTCCTAGTGGCCGGTGATTTTAATGCAGGAAAACTGAAATCCGTTTTACCTCATTTCTACCAGCATGTCACCTGTGAACTAAAGGGATAAAAACTCTAGATCACCTTTACTCCACACACAGAGACATTCGAAGCTCTCCCCCGCCCTCCATTTGGCAAATCGGACCATAACTCTATCCTCCTGATTCCTGCTTACAAGCAAAAACTCAAACAGGAAATACCAGTAATGCGCTCAATATGGAAGTAGTCTGATGAAGCGGATGCTAAGCTACAGGACTGTTTTGCTAGCATAGACTGGAATATGTTCCGGGATTCATCCGATTGCATTGAGGAGTTTACCACATCAGTCACCGGCTTCATTGATAAGTGCATCGACAACGTTGTCCCCACAGTGACCATACGTACATATCCCAACCAGAATCCACAGATTACAGGCAGCATCCGTACTGAGCTAAAGGCTAGAACTGCTGCTTTCAAAAAGCAGGACAATAATCTGGACGCTTATAAGAAATCGCGCTACGCCCTCCGACGAACCATCAAACAGGCAAAGCGTCAATACAGGACTAAGAACTAATCCTACTACACCGGCTCCGACGCTCGTCGGATGTGGCAGGGATTGCAAACTATCACAGATTACAAAGGGAAACCCAGCCGAGAGATGCCCAGTGCCAAGAGCCTACCAGACAAGCTAAATGCCTTCTATGTTCGCTTCGAGGCAAGCAACACTGAACCATGTCTGAGAGCACCAGCAGTTCCAGACGACTGTATGATCACGCTCTCCGTAGCTGATGTGAGTAAGACCTTTAAACAGGTTAACATTCACAAGGCCGCAGGGCCAGATGGATTACCAGGACGCGTACTCAGAGCATACGCTGATCAGCTGGAAAGTGTCTTCACTTACATTTTCAACCTCTCTCTGACCCAGTCTGTAATACATACATGTTTCAAGCAAACCACCATAGTCCTTAAGAATGCCAAGGTAACCTGCCTGAAAGACTACCGCCCTGTAGCACTCACATCTGTAGCCATGAAACGCTTTGAAAGGCTGGTCATGGCTCACATCAACACAATCATCCCAAAAACCCTGGACCCACTCCAATTCGCATACCGGCCCAATCTCCATTGCACTCCACACTGCCCTTTCCCACCTGGACAAAAGGAACACCTACGTGAGAATGCTGTTCATTGACTACAGCTCAGCGTTCAACACCATAATGCCCTCCAAGCTCATCCCTAAGCTAAAGACCCTGGGACTGAACACCTCCCTCTGCAACTGGATCCTGGACTTCCTGATGGGATGCCCCCAGGTGGTAAGGGTAGGCAACAACACATCCGCCACGCTGATCCTCAAAACGGGGGCCCCTCAGGGGTGCATGCTCAGTCCCTTCCTGCACTCCCTGTTCACCCATGAGTTTGCTGACGACACGACGGTGTTAGGCCTGATCACCGACGACGAGACAGTCTATAGGGGGAGGTCAGAGACCTGGCATTGTGGTGCCAGGACAACAACCTCTCCCTCAACGTGGGCAAGACAAAGGAGCTTATTGTGGACTACAGGAAACGGCGGGCCGAACACACCCCCATTCACATTGACGGGGCTGTAGTAGAGCGGGTCGAGAGCGTTAAGTTCCTCTGTGTCCACATCACTAAGGAACTATCATGGTCCACACACACCAACACAGTCGTGAAGAGAGCACGACAACGCCTCTTCCCCTCAGGGGGCTGAAAAGATTTGGCATTGATCCTCAGATAATCAAAATGTTACACAGCTGCACCATTGAGAGCATCTTGACAGACTTCATCACCGCTTGGAATGGCAACTGCTCGGCATCCAAACGCAAGTCGCTACAGAGGGTAGTGCGTACGGCCCAGTACATCACTGGGGCCGAACTTCGTGCCATCCAGGACATCTATACCAGGCGGTGTCAGAGGAAGGCCCTAAAAATTGTCCGACTCCAGCCACCAAAGTTATAGATTTTTCTCTCTGCTACCGCACAGCAAGCGGTACCGGAGCACCAAGTCTGTGACCAAAAGGCACCTGAACAGCTTCTACCCCAAGCCATAAGAACAGTTAATCAAATGGCTACCCGGACTATTTACACTGACCCCCTTTATTATTTATTTATCTTAATTGTTTTGCACTTACTCCCTTGCACAGGCTCTACGCACACTCACTAGACTCTACCCACATACAAAACACACACACGCATATTGACACCACACACACAGACACATTTTACATACGCTGCTGCTACTCTGTTTATTATATATCCTCATTGCCTAGTCACTTTTACCCCTACCCACATGTACATACCTCAACTACCTCGTACCCCTGCACATTGACTCGGTACTCCTTGAATATAGCCTCGTTATTGTTTTACTATTTCCTTTTTTATTTAGCAAATATTTGTCTTACATTTTAGCTCTGCACTGTTGGGAATGCGCTCGTAAGTAAGCATGTCACTGTAAAGTCTACACCTGTTGTATTTGCCGCATGTGACCAATACAATTTGATTTGATTCTACTCAGGAGCACTTTTACTTTTCAAATCCACAGAGTTTACACAGCCAGCTAGCTAACATAGCACCCCTCTCTGTTTGAGTAGGCTAAACTAGGTAGCTGCACAAGTGAAATTGCAAAAAATACAACAAAATATAGCTAGCGCTCTCTCGCTTCTTCATTTTTGAATAAATTAATTTGTTCAAAGCTGTTAAACTATTGTCTTTCGCTCTCTTTGAGTCAACTACTCACCACATTGTATGCACTGTAGTGCTAGCTAGCTGTAGCTTACGCTTTCATTACTAGATTCATTCTCTCATCCTTTGATTGGATGGACAACATGTCAGTTGATGCTGCAAGAGCTCTGATAGGTTGGAGGACGTTGTCATAACTACTGTATATGTCTATGGAAGGGGGTGAGAACCAGGAGCCGCCGAGGTTTTGTATTTAAGTCAATGTAACCAGAGGAGGACAGAAACTAGCTGTCCTCCGGCTACACCATGGTGCTACCATACAGAGTGCTGCTGAGGCTACTGTAGAACTTCATTGCAAAACAGTGCAAATTTAATCAATTATTTGGTGACATATTTAGTATAGTTGTATCTAAAAAGTATAACTTTTTCAATATTTCACTATTTTTATGAAATTCACTGAGGAGGATGGTCCTCCCTTCCTCCTCGGAGGAGCCTCCACTGATTCGGCGTACAACACATTTCTCATCCCTGGATTGATGTAAAGTAACCCGGAAGCAGCTTGGAAAGTTGAATTCCGGCCAATCAGTTGTATGTGACGTTAGAAGGGTTTCTGCCAATCACGTGTAGGCTATCAATCTGTGGGTGCACATTATTTCTAACCCGGGGTATCCCGTTTTTTAACCGGTGGAAACAGGTTGTATTCCTTTAGTTTACAATAGTTTCAACTCTACACATATTTATATCTGTCACAGCCACACCAAAGCGTCACCAAGGACTATGGATATACTGACAAGATTACATGTCTCTCCGCCCTAACAATGGTAGTCGTTGTCCACGAAGCGGAACAGCGGGCTAGCTCCCGTCTGTCCTTTCTTTGGATTGGTGGATACATCTCATTATTGAAACCCTGTTTTGAATATTCGATTAGGGTTGTTGACGTCAACCGCCTGTACGCTACAAGCCTCATGTCATGAATATGCGTAGCCATCTCGATATAAAGTGTTTTTTCTTAAAGTTGCCGGGAAGTCACATTTCATACTTATATCAGTACACTCGTAACAACTTAAGCATTACGAAACGTATATTTGATCAAATAAACGTCACGTATCAAATAAGCCATCCATTTTTTTTGTCGCCCAAATTCGACACTCATTGACCTCCATACAAAAACTCCTTGCTTGGTGGGTGAAACGAAAATACGCCACCTGCTGGAGGGAGACTAATTTTCCACCGACTTGGGCCTCTTCTCTGGTATCACACGATTCTCAACTGATGTCGACTCTCAAATCCATATCAAGATGATCCAAAGATAGAGCTGGAGGTAATAAGCTAGCACAATTACAAAAAAAAACCATTGTACATTTTGTAAGTATTTTAACTGCAGTCCTGACAAAGACTTTCCAGGTTGTTCATGGATGGGCATTGTTCAGTTTCTATAATATTTTGCAAAGCAATAACATGAAAGAAAACACAGGTAAAGGGGGTATGTTGCCCTGAATAGATGATAGACAAATACTTGGTTGGCTGGTTACATTTCCAATGCAGTCGTAATCAACACTTTCAAACCATTTCAAGCGTTGCAAAGAATGACAATCAGGCCCCCATCAAGCTGCAAAGACTGACAATTTCAAATAATATTCCAAATAAAATTGAAACCATAATGGTTAGAAACAATAACAATTACTATTGCTCTCTCCCTGAAATTTCCAAAGGTTTACAACAGCTTATTAATTTACTAGTGAGACATCTTTTTAAAAAATGTACTTTTTTATATCTATGCATGACCATTTTCTTGTAACCCGGCCAAGTCGTGTGTACATAAGGTTGTCATGTTGTATGTTACATAAACTGCATATTTTCTAGAGCAAAACTGATTTTAGGATTAAAAAACACCACAAGAAGACTACTGGCACCATTTGGGACTCAGATCCATATACACTGAGTATACCAAACCTTAGGAACACCTTCCTAATACTGAGCCCCTCCCCTTCCCTTCCCCTCAGAACAGCCACAATTCATCAGGGCATGGACTCTACAAGGTGTCAAGCGTTCCATAGGGATGATGGCCCATGTTGACTCTAATGCTTCCCACAGTTGTGTCAAGTTGGCCGATGTCCTTTAGGTGGTGGAATATTCTTGATACACATGGGAAACCCCAGCAGCGTTGCAGTTCTTGACACAAACCGGTGCGCCAGTATCCTTCTACCATACCCCGTTCAAAGGCACTTAAATATTTTGTCTTGCCCATTCACCCTCTGAATGGCACACATTCACAATCCATGTCTCAATTGTCACAGGGCTTAAACATCCTTTAACCTGTCTCCTTCCCTTCATCTACACTAATTGAAGTGGATTAAACAAGTGACATCAATAAGGGATCATAGCTTTCACCTGGATTCACCTGGTCAGTCTATGTCATGGAAAGAGCAGGAGTTCTTCATGTTTGGTACACTCAGTGTATATGTCCCTTACATACACAACCCACTCCTACACTCAGCAAGTCCCCATTAAGTGTCTAACAATCCCACAAAGAGCTCAATTTGGACAGGCTTTTTACCCATGACTGCATGTGTGTAAAGGACAAGACAGACCAACACGATGGTGGCAATTCAACATGTAGAATAGTTGGGAAATGAACAGAAAGGCAATAGGACTTGCTGCGCATGGTCGACGTTCGTGTTGGTCTGTCTTGTCCTTAACAACTTCGACTGGTGAGGGATGACCAAACAAGTATGTTTAAAGGTCTTGAATTTGTATTTGTTCCAGAGTGAGTAAACCTAGAAAGACAAAAATCTGAAAACAAAAGGTATTGCTTTTGTGATTCAAGACATGGTGTAGAATTTGTTTAATGAAAAAGAAAATACAGAAAGGAGTTTGAAGTATCCTAATGTTTAATGAAAGAGTGACGTACTGATCAGCAAGAAAGGGGTACAGTAAAACTACAAGGAATAGACAAAAATGTTGGTAATACTTAAGCCTGTCCGTTTCAACTGCAACACGATTCAGTCTTTATTTATTTTTACTTAGCTACCCTTGTGCACTAACTTAGTGTATTGCGAGGGGGACAGGGACGGGGAAGAGGCTCAAGGGTACTATATGGAATACCATGTGCACTGATGATGTCACTTACAAGTAAAGAAAATGAGAAGGGAAAAATAATTCCTTCTAGTTTTAACTATATCCCTCTGATCCATCATACAGGCCAAAAGTAAGTACCCGCGCAAGTGGGGTGGGGGGGTTAGGGGCAAACCCTCGACTCTGCGCATGGCTTCCACTCGGCTTACTACTGGGTGGATTCTTTCTTTTCCCATTATATTTTTTATTTATTTTTTGTATTTTTCTTCAGAGTGTGCTCATACAGCATAGAGTTCGTAGATCTTCTTGGCGCAGTAGGCCAGGGCGGCCAGCGCTATCGTGTTGTGGAGTCTCTTTCTGTGGATGTCGTCCCTGCGCACCAGCACCACTGGCGTGGAGGAGGTGAGTGTGTGCAGGGGCAGCCGTGAAAGTTTTTGGCTGTCGTACTCCACCTGGTACTTGCAGCAGGGATCAAACTGCCAGGAGATTCCGTAAAGGGCGGAGCAAGCCACGCTGAGGGCGCCAGCGGGCAGTGCCACATAGCGAGAGTACTCGGGCGGCAGCGAGAGCGGCGTCAGGAGGCAGGCGGTGCCCGACAGCACGGCCGTCTTGTGCAGGCAGTTGCCCACGGCGATCCAGCGGGCCGTCTCGTCGCCAATGCGCGTGGGCTCGATCACAATGTACTTGTACTGGGCCTCCAGCGCCTGCTCCAGCTCGTACTCAAACTGGTCCTGTGCATTCTCCCCGTTGTAGATCTCGTGAACGATGTAGCAGTCCGTTGCCGCCATCACTCCCCTGTGCACAGAGAGGGGAGATAAAGAGGGAGAGAGGGGATTGGGTGGGGATCAGAAATAGTAAGTAGATGGAAATGGAAGAGAATCACAATATTAAATTCCCAATTATTTCCCAAGCTTCATAGCAATTGTGCAGCGTCGGGCCCAAGGCAAATGGTTGCACCAGTTTCTTTAACAATGATGTACAGATGATTACCACTTGCTAAGAAATAAGGGGAACAACTTTTTTAATTGACATATAGTCCATGACCTTGATATCAGATTAGTGCACAACACCTGTTTTTTCAGCACACTGTATGGTCAAAACAAGACACTTTTGTGGAACTTTGACATGTTGCCTGTGCATGTTTGACATAAATAAGAGCTGTTGAATCAAAGGGGAAGTAGGGTATTTTCTCGCATTTAGAATTCTCAGAGTTCACTAACTAGTCGTCAGTCACTGTCAAGTTGCCTGTTAGTAATAAGCTATGGTGATAACGTTAATTGGCTATGGACAATATAAACAATATGCGGGAGAAAACAAATTTAGCTATATCAAGTGGAAATAACTCACACGTGTAAAACTCGAATCCCTCACTTTGCAAACATTATACCCCGCGCAAGAGTGCTAGCTAGCTCCCTAACAAGGTTAACACCGCTAGCTAAATAAGGCTGCGTTAGTAAATTCACCCTGGCTGAGCGCACTCTGAGTCAGACACTCCAGAGCGAATTTACGAACGCACCCGTCAAGTAGCTAACTACTGTTAGCTAGCTAACGTAAACAAAACTCTGGGTTAGCGAGCATGTTGATCATTCACAACTGTTTCAACAATTCCAGTAACATGTATATTAGCTACGTATAACATGGGAGCTGCTGCTGTGCTGTATTGGACGCAGCTTTGCATAACGTCAGGTCATACATTGGTTAGCTCCACCACTGTTTGGAAGCTAGCTGCTCCGAAAATAAACAAGTCCGTAAATTGCAAGCGGCGAGTAAAACGTTAATATTGTGTTATACGACCGATATATTTCATATGTGCTTGTACATCTACTTTGTAACGTTACGGCATGTTTTTCACACTATTTTAGTTGGATGGCTAACCTATCCAGAACTTGATTTTGAAGCTTTGATGAACAGGCTAGCGAAGTTAGCAAACATGCTAAACAAAACATCACATGAGCAGTTATGGAGGAAGGAATTCGGGAAAGTGACAGCTGCATTAAGCTTTTAAAAGCCATATGTTGGAATTGTGAATGTGTGGCGTATGATAAAATAGACCTTGTACACAAAAAGAGTCGTAATATGGCAATGATTGCGTCTAACTGACCTCTCCCTGTTGACTGGGACACCGCGCCTCCTTCCCAACGACGCCATCTTGGAGAACCAACACACGACTGCTGTCGACGCAGTGCAAGCTAGGATGTGTAGTGTGTATGCTATACTTGCAATACACTGCGAGGACAACTTAATGTACTTTGTCGTACTACATTTCCCATAATTAATTTAATGCACGTAGGATGTACCACTCATATTATTTATAGCATGTAAATGTAGAGGTCAGTTTAATTTACCACACTAGTACCTTTTATTGACGTAAACTGTAATCCAAACTGTGCTCAACACAAATGCGGAAAATGCTGCCTACACAAATCATGTTTATGTTTTGTAACAGTTGGAAGATGACCAATCGCAAGCAAGGACAACACTATGGGACTGAAGAGTAGAACAAACCATTATATAGCCAGATTGCGCAGCAGGTAAATTGTTCCACTTGCTATTTGCCCTTATGGGCTACGCTCACGCGTCAATGCAACTGACTGTCACACTAAAGTGGGGGTGCACACTAAAGTGGGGGTGATATTTACTTGCCTCAGGTTGCTATACTCACCCATATTGTGTCCTGTCTTATCCAACCTTCTCTAGTGAGTTGATCCCTGGCCTTATCGCACGCACGGTGTAGAACTCTACACTGGGAAGTCTGTTGTAACCCTGTAACAAGCCAGTGCCAACCAAAGTAACGTGCAATCCATTAGCCCGCTCCCCGCCTCCCTCTCAAATAGATTGATTGCATAAAGTGCACCTTTAAAATGTTATTACCTTGGTAATTTACTTTAAGTGTATAAGGCACTTCTAAATGATTGTAAATCAACGTTTCAATTGTTAGCTAGTCAATTAGTCAAATATGGTACTATTTCATTTAAAACAAGATAGAGACATGGAAAAGAATCTGACAGTCTGCAGACTTTATACCCATCTCTGTCAGACAGTAGGCCTACAGAACCATCCCCTGAAGACTCAGTGTCATCAGTTTTACTGCCTACCTGACTAGTATGCATTCAGTCACCTACCAAATAGTACATCTCACCTAGGTCAAAGCCAGAGAGAATCCCTACTGCAGTTTAAGATACTCAGCTAATAAAAAATAAAGGGTAAAACCTGTCACTTGATATTTGACTTTTGTTTTCTGTTTTCTTAAGCCATGCTTAAACTGTATAGAGAAAATGTTGCACAAGATTTGAAGTGTAGTAAAACAGCCCTGAATTAGTGCTTTTACAGACAGTAGAAGATCACCCCCACTGTCGATGAAGGTTCTATGGCAATGTCTCATGTCAGATAGCACAGCAGATTTCTGTACAGTAACATTTAAGGTGAAAGGTAGGCCTACTGAGGAGTGGTCTTGGGCAGCAGGAATAGAGGGAAGCGCCTCACTAGCCCACGACAGGCTGAACACATGTAGGGGGATACATGTTGATGATAGTCTAAAGTCTACCAGGTGTGGCCAACCCGCCACCCTCCTCCTGGAGAGCTATTGGATGTGCACACTATTGCGCCAACCCTGCTCTAACACACCTGATTCAGCTAATCAAGGTCCTGATGAACAGCTGTTTTTTGTCTTGCTGGTTTTGACGAGAGGACAAACATAGAAACTAAAGACCTGACCCGAATGATCAGGGTTGTATTCCACTCCAGAAAGCTGTTCCCTTCCCCCTGCCCTTGTTCACTCCTCTTCAAGGATCAGCCAAGACAGAATAGGTGAAAGCAATACGGCCGAAGCGTGATGGAGACATTGCCTCTTACAGTACAAAAAACAGGAATCCTGTATAGTCTTGCCACTGTGTAGATAATAAGACAGCCTTGGGGGCAGCAAGTCTCTGCAACATTCCTTGGTTTTCACACACACACACAAACAAACACAATGACATACAGTGGCATCCATGCCCATGGAGGACAGGCCGCGAGTAATGACAATGGCACTCAGACAGTTCCTCTACCACTGCTCTCCAACAGGGAGTCTTTATGTCCGTAGAGATAGGGAGAGCTCTAGTATGGTTGCCCCCTTCCCGTCTCTCCCTTACCACCCCCCACCCAAAACAGAGCACAAAGTCCTCCAAACCGAAAGCATGAGGCCATGCTTTCTACTGCAGTCTCTCTCCCTCTCCGTCATGGGGTCACATGGGGTGGATGTGCTCCAGGTATTGAGGTTGGGGATTCTCTTTGACGTATTTCTGGATGTACCAGCAGGTCAGGTGAGCCTTCAGATCCTCTTCCACCACAAAATCCATGGCCGCCTGCAAGCAACAGAATATTGCCATTTAATGAAGGTGTTGTTTTGTAGCTTGAGTTCACAAAGTAATTGTCTTTGTCATTCTGGTTTTATTTTAATACATGCATTAACCAGGGACTGCAGATGAAAGGTGAGACACTTGCTGTATTATATTTTATTTGATTTAAAGATTTTAAAACAGTAACGTTCCGGTCTACACAGATCAGATCATTTTCTTCTTCCTCTTAGCTCTACCATAACCACTCCCTTGATATTACCCACCAGCGTGCTCTGAGCTCAGCTCATCTGGCAAAGCTCTGCCTAGACTAAATAAACAGGCCGACGCTTGGATTTCCAGAATTACAATCAACGTTCATATTGCCAGGCAGCTGTTATAAAGAGAACAAGACAGGAAGAGAGTCCAAACTGTCCCATGAAAGCAGTTTATCAGCTGCCAGCTTAGGAAATGATTTACTATCTCTTACTGGGTTAAAGATGTACAAAGACTTATCTCCCCATACACAGAGTGAGCTGAGCAGCTCCAGATTGCAAGGTCCTCCTGCAGAATTGTTGTGATATTGTAAATGATGGGTAACATTAGAGGTTGTTTCTGGACAAGGCCATGGGCTCAAATGCCTAACTAAACTACTGAGACCTATGGACTCCCATCACTTATCTGAAAGGCCCAGATAAGTGTAAGCCCTAAGCAACAAGGCCCACAACTTTCTGTAATATTGCTTACACCTATCCAGGACTTTCAGATCTGGAAGGGGTTGTCAATAAGATCTAGAGATATAATAGGAGTGAGGGTGTAGTGTCTATTTTGGCATCGGGCCATTGTTCCATTCCATATTGTCAGACAGTCGAACCTTGGCCAGGTGCTTGGCAATGCCTCTCCCTCTGTAGGCATCTGGAACCTCCGTATGCTGCAGGTCCACAGTCTTCTTCCCAACATACTCGTACAAGAGGACCGCACGGTCATGAGAGCCTGGGACCAATTTAGAAGGGTGCAATGTTACAGAATATAAACTTTAAAAAGATAATGTAAACACACAGATATTATTTGTAGGCTAAATAAGTTGTCATGACTCATGCATAATATGGAGTTGTGTCCGCTATAGGGCTACTCCATGCCTGACTATTAAAAGGTATGTACACATCAGTCTGAGTCTCCATCAGACCTCAATGAAAGATCTATCAAAGATAGGAGTGCTGGCAGATAAATGAGGAATTGGGTTTTTAGAGAAAGTTAAGCAGATTCTCTCAAATCATCAGTATTTGTTTTTGCGAATGTGCATGCACATAAAATAGCAAACACTAACTGAGATGAACGACAACATTTTTGATGCGTGACAGCAACAGCATTCAATTCAACCACTCACTGCCAGGAAGCTAACAATTAGCGTCGTTGGCTAACGCTATGCCACAGATAGAACAATGAGACAGATATTTCACTGGATTTATAAATGTGAAGAATCGGCTTGGCATTTCCGCTCACTACCAAATATGGTAGTGAGAGGAATCCCACTGGCGAGCAGTGGGAGAAGATGGAACGAGATGGATTTTGGCCGACATTCTGCAAATTTTCTCATCGATGAAACATTTGATCTCAATACAGTTCTGTTCCCAAAACTAGAATATGTTGTGAACATCGTAGACTTTACCATTTGCAAAAGTTTTTAAAAATCGCGTTGTTTAGGAGGAGTGCAAATGCGAATTGAGTTATTGCACAAGCGCAGTTCAGAGTACGCGTTACCTAACGGAAATATGCAGATGAGAGGAACTCGCTAGCTCGCGCTTAGCACTGCCCCCCTCCTTGCGTGTTCTGCCCACTATGGCTCATTTGTTCCATTGGAAACCAAGGGTTGTGGTCTATCTTGGTTTAGTTCTAAAAATCTTTGGCTATGCCACTTGAGTTCTAGCTAGTAGCTTTTTGTCCGTTTGTTTACTAACGACGACCATTAGGAAAAAATACACTCCTTTTCTAGCTAAGTTACAGTTCGACTGCAATGAGGTAAGCTAGCTCAAAAGATTATGAAAAGGTTGGTTAGCAAGCTAGCTTAACCACACTCTTTGGTAAACAGTTGTTAAAAGGGAAAACACGTGCGATTTCGCGTAGCTAACGTTACATTACCATTTAGTCGTATGGTAAACTGTCGCTTCTTTTTATCGTGTTCTACTGCTATCGGAGTGTTGATTTCGGGGACATTCATCTGTGTAGCCTGGGCCATGGTCTTTCGTCGTCCTTTCGCCAAAACGTATTTAATTGAGGTGAAATTGATCTCAAAGCGATCAAATCATAGCCACCTCAAACTCAGAAGAATCAACATCCAGCAAAACACTCCATCATCCTCCTAGGAAATCAACTGTAGATCACATGGTCTGAGCGGACCAATGATTGCTGCGATTCTTGATTTGAGAATGGCCGAGTTCCAGGTAGCCTACATTGTAGTTGAGTTGCGCATAATCAGTTTATCTTGTCATAAATTATCAGTTAATGTATAAAGTATTCATGGAGTTCATTCAATCAAGGTTAAACACTTGGCCAACATCCACATTTGCAGAGATAAAATAAAATTGTATTTGTCACATACACGTGTTTAGCAGATGTTATTGCGGGTGTAGCGAAAAGCTTGTGCTTCTAGCTCCGACAGTGCAGTAATATCTAACAAGTAATATCTAACAATTTCACAACGTATACCCAATACACACAAATTTTGTAAGGAATAGAATTTAAGAATATATACATATGGACAAGCAATGACAGAGTGGCATGGACTAAGATACAGTAGAATATTATAGAATAGAATACAGTATATACACATATGAGATGAGTAGTGCAAGATATGTAAACATTATTAAAGTGACTAGTGTTCCATTTCTTAAAGTGGCCAGTAATTTCAATAGGCAGCAGCAGCCTCTAATGTGCTAGTGATGGCTATTTAACAGTCTGATGGCCTTGAGATAGAAGCTGTTTTTCATTCTCTCGGTCCCAGCTTTGATGCACCTGTACTGACCTCGCCTTCCGGATGATAGCGGGGTGAACTGGCAGTGGCTCGGGTGGTTGATGTCCTTGATTATCTTTTTGGCCTTCCTGTGACATTGGGTGCTGTAGGTGTCTTGGAGGGTGGGTAGTTTTCCCCCGGTAATGCGTTCGGCAGACCGCACCACCCTCTGGAGAGCCCTGCGGTTGCGGGCAGTGTAGTTGCCGTACCAGGCGGTGATACAGCCCGACAGGATGCTCTCAATTGTGCATCTGTAAAAGTTTGTGAAGGTTTTAGGTGCCAAGCCACATTTCTTCAGCCTCCTGAGGTTGAAGAGGCTCTGTTGCGCCTTCTTCACCACACTGTCTACGTGGGTGGACCATTTCAGTTTGTCGGTGATGTGTACGACAAGGAACTTGAAGCTTTCCACCTTCTCCACTGCGGTCCCGTCGATGTGGATAGGGGGGTGGACTTCAGGAAACACCCTCTGCTGTTTCCTGAAGTCCACGATCATCTCATCTGACACACACATGAGAAGGGCTTACCAAGAAAAACTTTAGACAGGACTAATTGTTGGAGATTGATTTCTTTTAGCTCACTTAAAGTGGAACTGACAGCGTTTTAACCCCTTTGCAGATATGAAACAGACAATCATAATATCAGTAAAACATATCAAATTCCCTGTTTATGCTTCAAAACCAACTTTATAAGAGGTTTTAAAAATAGGTTGTATTTGATTCAACATTCCATGACGTACAGTAAGGCATTGTTGGCAGAATAGATGGATACAGTTCAATGCATGATTCATATAATTCACCAATGCATTTCTTGCTAGTCCCAAAAATATTGCTATCAGGTTGGAAATCACAGCTGGCCAGGTACATTGTTTGCTGCCTCCACCCATTCGGGATGCTCTGTTTCAGTTTCAATTACTCAATATTTTGAACAAAAACGGACGATTGTAGCTAAGGCTGGGAATGTCAATACAATCAAACTAACAAGGGCAATCATCACAAGTCAGTCATAACATGGCTACTAGGCTAGCATACATGTGTCAAACACAAGGGCGGCGGGCCGAATAGGACACATAAGCGAGTATAAATGAGTCAACAGTTGAGTCATCTACTTTATGAAATTACAGCCTGATGCACTTGTATAGTTAATTCAACTTCAATTGCGCTGCTTTCGTGTGTTACATTTACAGCGCTGCAGTGGAGGGAATGTGTACAGACATGCCACAGTCCTAGCTAGGCTCCTAAAATGTTGCAGCCTGGCTTCGGTTTTTAAAGCGTGACGATGAACAGTGGTGGAAAAAGCAGTTAATGGTAATACTTGAGTAAAAGTAAATATACCTTAACTGAAAATGACTCAAGTAAAAGTGAAATTCACCCAGTAAAATACTATTTGAGGAAAAGTCTAAAAGTATTTGGTTTTAAATATACTTAAGTATCAAAAGTAAATGTAATTGCTAAATTATACTTAAGTAGTAAAAGTAAAAGTATTAATCATTTCAAATTCCTTATATTAAGCGAACCAGACGGCACCATTTTCATGTTTTTAAACTTTACGGATAGCCAGGGGCACATTCCAACACTCAGACATCATTTACAAACGAACAATTTGCGTTTAGTGAGTCCGCCAGATCAGAGTAGGGATGACCAGGGATGTTCTCTTGATAAGTGTGTGAATTGGACCATGTTCCTGTCCTGCTAAGCATTCAAAATGTAATGAGTATTTTTGGGTGTCATGGAAAATGTATGGAGTAAAAAGTACATTATTTTCTTTAGGCATGTAGTGGAGTAAAAGTAAAAGTTGTCAAAGATATGAATAGTAAAGTACAGATACCCCAAAAAACTACTTAAGTAGTACTTTAAAGTATTTTTTTACTTAAGTACTTTAATGAATAACCAAAAAACTAAACCTGCAACAAAACACCATGCAAAAGAGTAACATGTAGGCCTATTACAGCAACATTTGAGCAGTAGCCAAGGTTGGCTACTCAGCTACAATACATTCTGAGTGCACCATACAGCAATAATGCATTCAACCGCACCTGTGATCCATGCAGTGCAAAAAAATGAACACCATTTTTTCAGTTTAAATGTTACAACAACCTATAGCAACCTTTGTTATTTGGAGTTATTAAATACTTTTAAATTAGGGTCACAGCATATCATGCACATCTGCAAGCATAGCAGCAAAGGCTGGACAAATATTATTTATCTATTTTATTTTAATATGTTGCCTTGCAAAAGTACAGTGCCTTGCAAAAGTATTCATCCCCCTTGGAGTTTTTCCTATTTTGTTGCATTACAACCTGTAATTTAAATGGATTTTTATTTGGATTTCATGTAATGGACATACAGAAAATAGTCCAAATTGGTGAAGTGAAATTAAAAGAAATCGAAAAAATAAATAACGGAAAAGTGGTGCATGCATATGTATTCACCCCCTTTGCTATGAATCCCCTAAATAAGATCTGGTGCAACCAATTATCTTCAGAAATCACATAATTAATAAATAAAGTTCAGCTGTGTGCAATCTAAGTGTCATAGGATCTCAGTATATAAACACCTGTTCTGAAAGGCCCCAGAGTCTGCAACACCACTAAGCAAGGGGCACCAACAAGCAAGCGGCACTATGAAGACCAAGGAGCTATCCAAACATGTCAGGGACAAAGTTGTGGAGAATTACAGATCAGGGTTGTGTAAATCAAATGATACAAACCCCCAAAAAATCAATTTTAATTCCAGGTTGTAAGGCAACAAAATAGGAAAAATGGCAAGTGGGGTGAATACTCTCGCAAGCCGATGTAAGTGGACACTATAAAAGGGCCATATTTTTACAAATAAAACAATGGCCAGTTTGGGTCGAGGTTGCACAGTATTTTGTAAAAATAAATAGGCTATCTGGCCCGCAAATTTGTTGTGTTGTTTCAATATGGCCTGTGCGCTGATTGAGTTTGACACCCCTGGGCTAGTGTATCTATTTATGTAACTACCTATTTATTTAGAAAGCTAAAATCACAGAGCTTAACGTTAGCTAGCTAGCTGCTGGGAGGATGTCATGTCATTGGAGGAGTGGGTGAGTGACCGACATTTCCCCCTCATATCGTTTTTCATTGGGTAACAACTTCGCTAGCTAGCTAGTTATGCTGAACTTCACCGTTATCCACAGTTAACATACAGTACCAGTCAAAAGTTTGGACACACCTACTCATTCAAGGGTTTTTCTTTATTTTACTATTTTCTACATTGTAGAATAATAGTGAAGACATCACAACTATGAAATAACACATATGGAATCATGTAGTAACCAAAAAGGTGTTAAACAAATCAAAATATATTTTAGATTCTTCAAAGTAGCCACCCTTTGCCTTGATGACAGCTTTGCACACTCTTGGCATTCTCTCAACCAGCTTCACCTGGAATGCTTTTCCAACAGTCTTGAAGGAGTTCCCACATATGCTGAGCACTTGTTGGCTGCTTTTCCTTCACTCTGCGGTCCAACTCATCCCAAACCATCTCAATTGGGTTGGGGTTGGGTGATTGTGGAGGCCAGGTCATCTGATGCAGCACTCCATCACTCTCCTTCTTGGTCAAATAGCCCTTACAAAGCCTGGAGGTGTGTTGGGTCATTGTCCTGTTGAAAAACAAATGATAGTCCCACTAAGCGCAAACCAGATGGATGGCGTATTGCTGCAGAATGCTGTGGTAGCCATGCTGGTTAAGTGTGCCTTGAACTCTAAATAGATCACTGACAGTGTCACCAGCAAAGCACCATCGCACCTCCTCCTTCATGCTTCAAGGTGGGAACCACATATGCAGAGATCATCTGTTCACCTACTCTTCATCTCACAAAGACACGGCGGTTGGAACCAGAAATCTCACATTTGGACTCAGACCAAAAGGACAGATTTTCCCCTGTCTAATGTCCATTGCTCGTGTTTCTTGGCCCAAGCAAGTCTCTTCTTATTGGTGTCCTTTAGTAGTGGTTTCTTTGCAGCAATTCGACCATGAAGGCCTGATTCACACAGTCCCTCTGAACATTGTGAAGCATTTATTTGGGCTGCAATTTCTGAGGCTGGTAACTCTAATGAACTTATCCTCTGCAGCAGAGGTAACTCTGGGTCTTCGTTTCCTGTGGCGGTCCTGATGAGAGCCAGTTTCATCATAGCGCTTGATGTTTTTGCGACTGCACTTGAAGAAACGTTCAAAGTTCTTGAAATTTTCCGGATTGACTGACCT